ATTTCATATGGACTTATTTTATTATCACCATCAGTGAGGGGAAGGGGTATTATGAGATCCTCTGCTTCATGTGGGAAAACAGCATGGCTGGCTTGACAGCACCTTGACAGGGATTGGGGGCGGGGAGGTATGCCATTTGGCAATCAGCCAGTAGAACATCTTGGGGTGACTCTGAGTTTCTCATATAATGTCTAAAGCAGTATAATCTGGAGGAAACAAGCCCTTATGATCGCAATGCTTTTCTCTAAAATGATTGCTTTTGTCCATTGTTTGGCACAACAACAGATGTTCTGGCCTTTCCCCAGAGCAATGGAATGAAAGATAAAGAAAAGCTCCATAGAACCTTTCAATACAGTACATTCTGGGTGCTGGGTAAGGAGGATCGCTGGAAGTGAGGAGGAAGTTATTGTTGTTGTTTTGACTTATATATCACGACATAGTGCTAGAACACTCTCTGGGTGGTTATACCAAATAATTAGGCGAGGAACACTTTGCCCCAGCAATCAGGGGGCCCCATTTACTGATCTCAGAAGGAAGGAAGGCCAAGTGAACTCTAAACCAGCTCCTTGAACCTGTCAGGGTCAAACTCAAGTCATGAGCAGAGGCTTGACTGCAGTACAACCACTGCACCAGGGGACTTGAGTTGCTTTGCAGATGCAACAGTGCTCAAATCAAGAAAGAATTGTCTGGCACCTTAAAACTGAACAAGTTTTATTTGACACAAACATGTGTGACTCTGCATCCCAGTTTATCAGATAGATCTGGAAGACTGGATCCATGAAAGCTTAAGTCAATGTATATGAAAACAATTCTTCATCTTTAAGATATCATAAGACTTATGGTTTTTGCTGCAGTAGGCTCTTCCTCCACCAGCTTTGCATAGTATCCCGTGCATGATACAAGGGACTTGGGTGTTTTTCCAAGCATGGTTAAAGCAGCTTTGGGATGGGGCAAAATAACACTGGGAAAGGTCCATCGATCTGTTCCACCAATGCCACTACTCTGATCAACAAAAGAGTCAGAGGCCCCATTCCACCGAATGACTCCTTCAAGGTAAAAGAACCATAACTGTCAGGCAGCATCATGGTGGAATCCTACCTGATGTCCACTTTGACTTCATGCTGGTTAGAGTGCCCAGCGTGAGGGATGATAGCTGCTCAACATGGAACAAAGCCCACATATCTTTTTCCAGATTTGCTACCCATAAAACAGTGCAAATTCACAATTGTAGTGTGTTTTTTCTAACTCCCAGTTTGTCTTTATTCCACGTAAAACTACCCCAAAAGCCATCATATACTGACTTTGTCTTGTTTCCAGCTCTTAACAGTGTGACATCAAGATATGTATGTGTCTCTTAAGAGACATTGTGCCTTTTCAAGGTGATCCTCAAAAAGCTTATGTAGGGGCAGTGATTCCACTCAGTGGAGACAAGTATGAGAAAAGGTTGATATCTCCTGCTGCATTTGTTCATCTATTGCTTTTCTCATGGGCACTGTCATCAGTTTCTGAGTCACATTCATAAGTTCTGACAATGATGCAATACTGTAAAGAAGACTATTGCCATGCAGATTCCAGAAGCCTAGCTGCAGAACATATCCATCCGTTCAGACTCACTGGTTAAAAATAACCAGCCCCTCACAACAGTGGCTGGAGAATTCTGGGAGTTGTAGTCCAAAACGTAGCATCTCCAAGCTCTGGACTTAGTGACTGATTTTTTTTTCCAACAATGAAGAGTTAATTCTACTACATTACAATTGGGAATAGGATAACTGTACCCCTCTTGTTATATCCTAGTAAGTGATGGAGAAGGGCTATCCCACTGAGGTGGCATACATTGTTCTTTTTCTCCTATTTTATCCTCCTGACAGCCCTCTGAGGGCCTAGTCTCACCTGCCAAACCACCACCAAATAGTTTATTTTTGTGGTCATGTGGTATAAATACAAGTTCAAACATTCACATTGTTTTTAACTATATCAATTCATTTCTTCCTATTTGAACCATTATAGCAGGCTATACTGCTCTTAATTTTGCATCAGTTCATTTTCTATACAGTTTCTTATGGAAATCAGACCCCGCTTGCCCTTTAAAAAAAAAACAAAAAAATTACCTCAACAGTGCAATAGAGAGGTCCGAGCCTTTTCTCCTCCTCTCCTTTTCCTTCCCTCCTTTACTTGACCCTTTTTCAAAGCATCCTGAAGAGGAGAGTTTTTAAAAAAAGAAACAGAAGATGCAACACTCCTTTCTTTACAATTCAAAACAGGAAATCTCTCTACTCAAGCCCTATTTCACCTGCAAACGTGGGGGGAGGCTGCATCCTTCAAGCTGTCTCCTTTTGAGCAATATAGTCATGCTGGCAATATATCTTTAAAGGGGAAAAAAGGTACAAGCAAAGTGGCTATGAAGTGGCCCAAACACCCAGAAACCCAATCCCTTTGCAAAGGAAATAAATTGACAGCAACATTCGCACAGGCTGAAATAATAAGAAATGAAGTGATTCATTATTGGTACAAAATAATAATAA